CATGTCCGTGCCCAGGATTTGAACTGACGAAACACTGGGCCGCCTGCAGCGGAGCGCGTGAACTTAACCACTCGGCCACGGGGCCAGCCCCCTACATACACAGTTTTTTAATGTACAAAGAATGATAGTTTTATTTCTTCTCCTCCAATTCTTATAAATTTTCTTTCTTTTTCTTGCCTCATTGCACTGGAAAAGACCTCCAATACAATGCCAGCTAGAAGTGATAAGGACATCTTTGTCTCATTCCTGATCACAGATGGAAAGTTTTTAACATTTAAACAGTATCAATTTTTTGTAAATTTTTGTAAATACTGAGCATTATATTAAGTACAGTCCCTTCAATTTCAAGTTTTCTGATAGTGTGACTAAGGTCTGAAACAGAAGGAGTAAGGATAAAAATTGTTAAAGTGAGGGCTAGCCTAGAAAGCAAGGGCTGGAGAAGAGATTATGGGTCATGGAGAGTGTTATGGGGGAGAGAGGGGTTATGATATAGTGAGAGGACTTGGGGATAGGGAAGGGTTATGGGAGATGGAGAAATTTTATCAGATGTAGGGAGTTCATGTAAGAAAAAGCATAGATTATGGGGTTACAGGGAAAGATTTATGTGACAGGTGCTTATGGAAGATGAGGAAGAGGTTATGCTAGGTCTGGGAGTAGATTATGATGAGAGAAGAAGGGAGTTATAGAACAGGGAGGATATTAGGGAAGTCAGAGAAGTGGCCATAGGGTCAAGGTTGGTATTACAGAGGACAAGGAGGGAGTTATGAGTGGCCAGGGCTTTACAAGGGACAGGAAGGAGGTTATGGGAAACAGAGAAGGGTTTCTGGGGGAGACAGAGAAGGTTATGGTGCACAGGGAGAGACACTTCCTGTTTCTTTGTATGTCGGGATTTTTTTTTGTTGAAAATTGGAGATTTGACTATTATAACGTGCCAACTCTGGATATCAGATTCTCCCCCTTCCTCAGAGTTTGTCAGTTTGTTCATTTGTTTTTTCTTGTTGAAGGCTGTAGTGGTCCACTGCTTTGAGACTTTTCCAAACTCTTTTTTCAAAGACTATTCCTGTGTGTGATCATTGAAATCTCTATTCCTTTAGCTCATGTTCAGCTTGGATAGAGATTTCCTTAAATTGCCAGGAGCTGAAACAAACAAAACACCCAAAAAAGAGAGCACAGCAGCCTCTCCCAGTCTTTGTAGGTCGGCTCTGTGCTGGGGCATTCCTTCAGCACTTACACAGGCTTGCTCTGAGCCTGGGTATCAGCCCAAGGTAAAGGCTTAAGGTCTTCTCAGGTTTTTAATAAGCATGCACCTCGCCTGGGCATGCATATGGCTTTCTACGTTCCCCTGTATATTGGGCTGCTTTGAATACCCTAAGTTCTCAGAGTCTCAGCCCAGCTTCTCCTCTGGGCCTTAGATGGTCTATTTTATGCCTCCACCCATAATCTCTCAACCCAGGCATCCATGGGTTTGTCATTACCTTGTAGCTTTTATGAGCATGCCCACCACTTTTCCTGCCTGCAGTCCAAGTTACGTGAAACAGAGATGACCATCTTGCACAAGTCCTTCAAATATTCTCTCAGACATGTTAGAACAGACATAGGCAATAATTTGAAATATGGTTTGCTCTGTTCCCCCTGCCTTGAGAGGTCGGGGATGGGGTGGGGGAACAGGAACCAGGTTACTGCCAACTCAAGACCAAGACAGTTGCCCCAGGGAGGGGGTGGGGCAAAGGCAAATAAAAATGCCACAAAATTTTCCTACTGTTTTGAAGCTGGATTTTCTTCACTGGGCATTTGCTTGGTTGTTGTAAAGCTTTGACTATTTTCCAGAGCTCCTACAAGGTTGGTTCAAACAGATTCTGCTTGTTTTTCCAATGTTTCTTTTGGGGAACGAGAGCTTAGAGATTCCTAGTCTGCCTTTTTGCTGACTTCCCTCTCCAAAAGGAAGCCGTAACCAGGGAAGAAGCAGGACAAGGAGGGGATTATCAGAGTACAGGAAGGTGTTTATGGGGACAGAGAAAAGTTATGGAGAGATAGTGAGGGAATTATAAGGATCTGGTAGGGTTTACAGACAGCCAACAAGGAGTTTATATATGACAGGCAAGGGTTATGGAGGACAGGAGTTCAGTAAGAGTTCAGTGCTGTGGTAGATCCTTCTAATGATGGCCTCCAATAAATCTCACCTCCCTGGGTCTGAGCCCCTCTGTAATATGACATCACTGCTCCTTCCATCAAGATATGGAGTCCATTTTCCATCTCTTTGAATCTGGGTTAGCCTTGTGACTTGTTTGATCAAGAAAATGTGGTGACAATGACATCATGTAAGTCATGTGAGGTACTTACAACAGTGCCCGGCATGTATAGGCTCTATAAATGTTAGCTGTTGCTGCTGTTTCTGTTGCTGTTAATGGAAAACTCTGTGCATTAGGTTCCTCATATGCAAAGAGGCTTGCGGCATCGGCCTTTACCCACTCGGGATCCTGACACAATCACACTGTGAACAACTTTAGACCAACCTACTGGAGAATGAGAAGACACCTAGAAGACAACTGAGGTTAGGCCAATGGCCAGCACCAATTGGCAGACATGTGAGCAAGGCCATCTTGGACTTCCCAGCCTAGCTAACCTTCAAGCTGAATGCAGCTGCCCAGATAAGCCCAGTTGAGACCAACAGAACTGCCCAGCCAACCCAGAGAATCATGACAAATACTTACATTGTTTAAAAACTCTAAGTCTGGGAGAATTTGTTATGCAGCAACAGATAATGGAAACATGTGGAGACAGGGAGGGACTTGGGGGACAGGAGTGGTTTACAGAGGTCATAAATGGTTTAGGCATAGTCTCATCAGCCTCTTGGGTCATTTCTTCAGATCCGAGTTTCTGTTCCCTTAATCCCTTGGGTTGAGGAGTTCACCTACTGCCACCCGAGCTGCCCCAGAGACTCTGTCTCCTTGGCCCACTCCCCACATGGATCCAGGTTCTTCTCTTCTTGGGCTTCTAACCCCAGGTCCTGGAGGTTAGGGGCCCCCAGATCAACATCTCTTCTTTGGCCAATATTCTATCCCCATTATTTGAAGTATCATTTCAGCTGCTAGAGTCAGAGACTGGCTGAAACCGGCTTACTCCAACAAGGGATTTATTGATTCATGTGATTGAATATCACAAAGGTAATGGAATGATGCTGGCATTTAGGTGCAGCCAAAACCAAGGACTCAAAACCTATCAGGGATTTGTATTAATTTCTCTTTATTGTTTCACTCTCAGATGGCTTTCTGCATGTAATGGCACAGTGACCACCAGCCATCCCAAGCAAACCTGTTACCCCAAAAGTTTCAACAAAATCCTAAGATTGGCTCTCATTTGACCAGCTTGGGTCACATGCCCAACCCTGAACCTGTAAAGAGCCTGGGGAATGGAATGCTCTGATTACAAGCCTGGGTCACATGCCACCACTAGAGTGAGGCAGAGGGGAAGGGGATGGACTGAGCATAAGGAGGAGAGTACCTTGGGCAACTTACTAAACTTCTTTGCCCCTCAGTTTCTTCAGCTCTAAAACAGGGATAACAACTGAACCTACCTTATGGGATTGGTGTCAGGGTTAAATGAGATCAACGCATACAGCACACTTACAACAGTGCCTGGCACATGATAGACTCTCTAAGTGTTAGCTATTATTATCGTTGTTACTATTATTATTAATGAAAAACACTATGCACCAGTTTCCTCATAAGCATAGGGAAATAGAGAAAACAATAGCAACTATGTCACAGAGTTGTGTGTGGAATTAAGTGATTTTCGTCTATATAAGCCCTGAGAATAATGTCTGGCAAAGAGTCTGCTTGCTGCAAGGATCAGCTGTTATTAAAAGTCAGTGAGTCTTTTTCCACAATCCCAAAATCCCAAAGACCTGAAAACAGACTTTTTTGCCCTTGGATAATTCATTTGGTGGCAAAACCTGACCTGAACTTACATGAGGCTATTTATAATGTTTGTTTTTACTTATGTACTTAGTGTGACTATCCACTCATTTTGTTGAAGAAGTATTGAGTTGAATTATTGAGTGCTGCCAGAGGAATTATATATGTAACAAATTGTGTATGCATTCTCTCAGCTTTCTAAAATACAAATAAAAATCTAAATTATAAGACACTTCTGGCCCCAAGAATATTGGGGATAAATAGAGATTGGATACACTCTCTGAAACAACAAAAAACCTGGACAAAATATATGAAACAACAACTTTCAAGACACTGTGAAGACAAGAAACAAACTAGGTGAGCCGTCCTGTTGCTTTGAGAGTTTCCAGGCTGCAGTGCCGGGAGGGAGAACCAAGATGGAGCCAGGCATGTTCCTTCAGTTGAAGAGACAAGAATAACAGTCCAGGGGCCATGGGTGGGGAACCAACGTGGGTAGAATTTGCAGGAAAGATGCCAGAGAGGAGAGAATTTCACAGAGACAGAACTCCAGAGATCTTCTCAAGGTCCTCTGTGAATATTTGACAGAGTACTGATCAAGGCATGCATGTGAGGAAAGCACCCAAGACTGGAGAAAAAACTACCTGAGAGAGTCAGATGGACCAGGTGCTGCCAATCACACAAAGCCAGGCATAGCGCCTGTTCCCACCAGCCAGACCCGGAAGCATCGTAACTCATGGGACATTATTCATTTTCCTTCCTTTCTCATGGTAGATTTCCTAGTTCTCTTCCTGGCTTGTCTACTTCCTCTCTTCTGCTCTTGGGAGGCATCCCTGATATTGCCCTCCTGCCCTGTCTGCAGATAGGGGTCTTCAGGAAGGAGGACCAGCCAGGGTCCAACCTAATGACTTCCGCCCAATCCCTATCAGGGTTGGGGGAGTCGATGTCCTCTTAGGGGGTGGAGCCTGGTTCCATGCTCTGAGTCGGCAAGGAGCAGAGAACCGCGGGACCACGCCCTCTTACGTGGGCAGCCAATCAGGACTTGAGGTTCTGGTATCTCCATTGTGAAGAACTGGTCTTTGACAGTTTGGGTCTTGGGATTCTGGTTCGAACGACAGAAGGCATAGTGAGTTTGGCTGTTTCCAAGATACTCGGGTCTGTCCTTGGGTGGAAAGATCATGCCCCCGAAACCTGCTGCAGATGCCCCACCTGCCGCAGACGCCCCACCTGCCACAGACGCCCCACCTGCCGCAGGCGCCCCACCTGCCGCAGGCGCCCCACCTGCCGCAGACGCCCCACAAGCCCCAGGCGCGCCACCTGCCCCAGGCGCCCCACCTGCTCCAGGCGCGCCACCCGCGCAGCCAGAGGAGCAAGAGCCTAAACAGACAGAAGAAGAACTGGCGTTTTATGCCCCGAGTTACGTGTGTATGACCGTCCTGGCTGTAATTCTTTTCCCTCCCCTCGGATTACCAGCTATCTTCTTCTCTTACAAGGTAAAAGAATGCCTAAGCCATGGCCCATCCTGTCCTCTACCTGCCCCTTGCATCTGCTCCTGTCCTGGGACTGGGTGGGGGTTTTCCCTCAGTGACAGCTGGTCTCCAGCCATTCCCCAAGGATGTCACATGGCTGGACTCAGAAATCTAAAATTCCCATCCCTACAGACCGCGCAGGCCAACAAGAACAGCGAGTGGGAAGAGGCTTACGTCAACTCAGGCAGAACTGGTTGGCTGGATGTATTCGCCATACTCATTGGTTTAGGCATCATTTATTACTACGCCCTAATGGTATGAAGGCCAGGCCCAGTAGTCTACAGGTCCACCCCTCAACAGGACCCACTCACCAAGACACTAACCAGCCAAATCAGCCACCATGCAAGAATCCAAGAGCTGAGACATCTGCTATCCAGGAAACCCACCAGCCAAGGAACTCAACATCCAACAACCGAATAGCCCAGGAACACCATACTACTCCATCCTTTCAGCCTCCATGAAGAGCTGTCTTCATCCACCTTGGAGGTCCTCACTTTCACACCATAGATGCCCTTAACTCCTTGATACTGGGCTGCTTTTTCAGAAAAATATTTATTTAAACCAATAAAATTGAAGGGAATGTCCTGGCTTTTCATAAGTGTTCATGTGTGTTTCTGAGTCGGTGTCTGTGTTTCGCTGGGGCTACGTGTTTCCCAAACCATACGAAAATCAGAATGTCCTAATGGTGAAGCCCAGGGACATGGAAATCAGGCAGATGTGGGTTTTCCTCTCACCCCTGACACTTAAAAACTGTACATCCTTGAACAAGATAATTTTCTTGAGCCTAGTTCCTTTGTCTGTAAAATTAGCATAATGATCGCCAATGTGGGGTCATACTTAGAAATTTGAATCGATATTCTCTAGGTGTTTCCTCATTCAAGCTAGAATTCTAGGCTTGTAATGTCTGAGAGCAGGGATAGGAAACAGAAATCTCTTCCAGCTTTTGAGATCCAAAAGTTAAATTCTCAAGGGAAGAATGGAAAAATCTCAAGAAATGAACAATAGATTTGGCAGAAGAGCTGATGAAGACCACCTCTCCCCCAATCCTGAAAGGTAAATGCTCCCCTATTCATGGAATAGGGGTAGTGCAGAGAGGTTAGATGTCAGAATATCTGTAAGGAGGTCCCTATAGCCTACATCTCAGGATGGAGCGGGGTGTCAAAGACCCCAGAGATTACTTGTATTCCCTCTCCACAGAGAAATCCTAGAGAGGCTCCAAGATCTCAACAAAAATATGCTGCATGGTGTGGAGGTCTAGAAAGAAATGGCCTCAGACAGCCAAGTAGGGTATCCCATGTCCCAGCGTGATGAAGAGAAGGTGGGGGCTATAGGAATGCCAAGTGTCAGGGTCAGAGCAACTATCAGAGGGGAGCCGGGGGTAACACCAGAGCCACCCAGGATGAATGAAAACAGAGATCTAGGCTGACACCATGGACGACAAACACCCAGGGGTTCCTTCTGGTGCCCTAGCTTCATGGACAACTCCAAATTCAGACTCAGAAACTCTAGACTTAGCAGAATTAAGTTTCCACAACTGAGGAGATTATCAGTAGGAATTAAACTGAGTAGGTGTGGAAAAGACTGCTAACACTTTACCAAAGCTCATCTCCTTTTCTTCCTGGGAGCACTACTCAACCACATTTCCTAGGTTCCCCTGTGTGGCCATGAGACTGTCTTTGGCTCTGTGGAACGTGATCAGAAGTGATGAGTGCCGCAAACAACCCTGGACCTTAAGCACCTCCCACGAGCAGTCCACTATACCCTTCCTCCCCTAGCTCACTGGGCAAGTGATACCCATGGTGATTGGAGGGCCACATGGTATAGAGATGAAAGAGTTCCCATCAGCTGTGGTCCCTGAGTCATTCTAGGAACAGTCACCCTTTCCCCAACTGCCTCCCATGGTTGAGCAGAAACTAAACTATTGTGTTGTGCCATGACATGTCTAGCCTATCTATTTCCACAACTCAATCCACCCTAACCAGTGAAGATGGAGGAAAACAGAGTTGCATTTGTTAGACATCTGGGGTTACAGCTTGAAATTCATACCCAACAGAAAGACTCACCTTGTTGGGAGGTTTATAGGACGAAGGCACTAGTCCATGATTAACCTTAATCTTAGCTGTTGTCTTACTGTGTCTGTCTCCTCCATGGTCCCAGGTATCTTCACAGAGTACATGTGTTTGTGGGACAACGTTTCATATTATGGGTGTGTCTGGAGAGAAGATTATGCCTTGTTGTTTGCTGTGTTAGCAGGTCTAGAGGGTCAGCCATCCCTGTCCCTCCTCAGGCCAGACCAAGCTGGGCTTGTCCCATTCAGCTGCAAAGCCATGTGGAGTCAGGATGGTCCACATCAGCACAAAGATTCAAAAAAGTCACATTGTGCTACAAGACTTGCAAAGCCAACCAGTCTTCTCTACCTCCACTCCCAGACTCCCCCCACCCTGTATCACACTCTCAGGCATTCATCTGGCATTTACCATTATGTTAATATAAAATAAAACAAAAAAACTATATTCTTGTGTTTTGAAACATCATCAGTTGAATTACTATAATGAAACACAGATTTAACACTCTTCTCTCTCCCCACTACCTCCCACAGAATGAGATGGCAATTTTTCACTCAATGTCCAGGATCTACAATTCATTATGCCTGGGTAAGCATGCTCCATTACTGCGCCCAGGAATTTATGATGATTACATACTCTTTCTGAACTGATTTTTGAACTCAACAGCCAAGCAACCCTTCTTCCTGCACTCCTTCAAATTTTTTTCCTCCCTTTTCTTTTTACTCTCCCTTCTTCTCCTCCTCCTGCTCCTCCATTCTTCACCCCTCCTCTCCCTCCTCCTCCTGCTCCTCCTCATCTTCCTCTTCCTTCTTCCTCTTTTGTTTGTTTTATTTTCTCAGTTATCTATGTGTCCCTTCATTAATTGTTATCCAAAAGAACTCTGTAACTGCTCTCCACAGAATTTCCCCACAGTCAAATAGGCCAGGTAATTTTTTAATTCTCTTTTTCCCTTGGATTTTAAACCTGTTTATTTATTTACTTGGGTTTCTTTATTTGCACCACTTTCACACAAATACATTCTCATAAAGAATCAAGTAATACAAAGAGTATGTGGGAGAAGAGGAGCTCACTTTACAGTTGGTCCTAGTACCATTTTCCCCTCTCAAAGGTAATTGCTGTCAATATTTTGTGGTAAGTCTTTCTAGTTACCTTTATGTGCATTTCCCTGTGCATATACATCCACACACATTGATATCACACTTTTCTGCTTACCACTAGGTCTTGAAGATATTTTCCTGTTAGTGCTGAAGATCTTCAACACCAAATGCCCTGTATCCCACTTGTGAATTATCTGCCTGTGTCCTCTTCTGGTCCATAGGGTAAATTCCTAGGTTCTCATTCCTGCCTTTTCTCCCTCAATGATAGCTCATGGAATTCCAGCACTTGGCATGAACCTGCGAGCCTGTCTTTCTCCTGGTGAAAGAGATCTGAGTATCATAACAGAGAGAATCTCAACAGAACAAGCGGCTGCAGGAGAGCAGATTCTGTTTCACACTATGAATTGGTCTTGCAAATTGTATTTCTAACTCCAGCAAACTTAACAAGCTTTAAGACACTCAGACTTTGACGTTATTGCCATGTCCTGTGATTGTCATTCTTAACCTCTTACAGTCTTCAATTCTGATGAATCATCTTACTCGTGTTACTGTCGTAACAATACTTGAACTGACATTCTTTTCTGGAAGAAAGACTTGCTTTTGAATTTTCTTTGTTAAATCAGAAGCATATTATTAGCATTTTTCTCTTTTCCCACAGGTATGTGGATTAAAAAGAGAGAAAACAATACTCCCCCCACCCAAGAAATACTCCCCAAGAACCCATAATAGAGCAAGATTTCTTATTTAAATGAAGAGTTTGAGAATCTGAGTCTCATTTAAATCAAGAGTACACTGGGTCTCTTATTTAAAAATATTTTTATTGAAGTGCATAAAAATGCACAAATCATATGTGTATGTCAATGAATTTTCACCAATAGCACACTCATGTAAACTGTACCTGAAATAAGGCAAGGCCAGAAGACTCCTGTGCCCTCTCCCAGTCACTTTCCCACAAAAGATAACTTCTATCCTTACTTTCTCTCCCTCTTTTTAATAATTGCCTGGTGGGCTGTGTCAGGGCTTGCAAAATTTACTATCAAGATCCTCCTGTAGATGGATATTTAGGTTATTCCTAACTTTTGGCTGCTCCAAGCCATCCTACAAAAGGCATCCATGAGCATGCTTCCCCGTGCACGTGAGTAGGTATTATGCTAGAATGGAGCCAAGAAGTAGAATTTCAGTGTTGAAGCATTAATGGCTCTGTAACTTTGATGGCTAATACCATGATAACTTCTGTAAAGGTTTCACCGAGTCCCACTCCAACCCCAGTATTTGAAAGCATCATTCTGTCTTCTTGTCAGCACATGATATCATCAACCCTTTGAATTTTTGCCAATTTGATGGGTGAGAAATGAGAGCTCCTTGTTGCATTAATTTGCATTTCTCTGATCAGTAGCAAGTTTGAGCATTGCTGTGGACTGAATTGTGTTCTCCAAAATTTCTGTGTTGAAACCCTAACCCACAGTGTGACTGTATTTGGAGATAGGGCTGTTAGGAGGTAATTAGAGTTGGATGAGGTCATGAGGGTAGGGTCCTCATATTGGGATTAGTGCCCTTATTAGAAGAGACACTTGAGGGCTTGCTCCTTTTCTCTTTAGCATGTGAGGACATAGTAAGAAGATGGCATCTGCAAGCCAAGAAGAGAGCCCTCAGAAGAACCCAACTAAGCTGGCACTCTGATCTCAGGCTTCCAGACTCCAGACTGTGAGAAAATTAATTTCTGTTGTTTAAGCCCCCAGTCTATGGCATTTTGTTACAGCAGCCTGAGCTGACTAAGATAGGCATCTTTTTCAAATCTTTACTAGTCTTTTTTTTTCTTTTCTACAGGGTTTGTGATATCCTTTGCCCATTTTTCCATGGTTGTTTGTCTTTTTATAATGGATTTATAAGGGTTCTTTTTATGCCATGGAGATTAATCCTTTTTCTGTTAAATGTGTTGCAAATGTTTTCCAATGTATTTTAACATTGTTTATGCCGTATTTTCATAGAGATATTTTTAACTCTTACAAAGTCAAATTTATCAAGATTCACCTTTGTGCATTCTAAGTTTTATGTTTTATTTTGGAAAACTTAAAATCACTTTCCCATATTTCTTTTCAATGTTTTATAAGTGACCTTATGATTAGTTGTTTTAATCCATCAAGACTATATCTATCTTTTTTAAACTGAGTTCATAATAGTTTACATCATTGTGAAATTTCAGTTGTACATTATTCCTTGTCCATCACCATATAAGTGCCCCCCTTCACCCCCTGTACCCAGCCCCCAGCTCCCTTCCCCTGGTAACCACTGTCCATGTGTTTGTTTATCTTCTACATATGAGTGAAATCATATGGTGTCTGTCTTTCTCAGTCTGGCTTACTTCGCTTAACATAATACCCTCCAGGTCCATCCATGTTCTTGCAAATGGAATGATTTTGTCTTTTTTCATG